AGTCTCCATGAACAGTTCTCTTGGAGCCCCCCTGTCTGGCTTGGGGAAGAAAACCCCACACTACACGCCTCCAGCAGCTGGTTCTCCTTCGATTATTTCCATCTTTCGAAGGAAAGAATCTGTTGAAGTGTGTCTAGCAGCTTCTCCTTAGAACTTGGGGTGTTCGCGGTTTAGGTAACACTCCAAGGCACCTGGGAAAATCTCATCCAGCCTCCCGTTATCATCGGGCTTTGTTCAGTCACTGGTATGCTGGGAGATCTTTCCGTGTCAGATATCTCTCTTCTGTCATCATTAAAGTTGATTTCATAGCTTGGTATGCTTTAATTGTATCATAATTTACTAACCAATCTTTTATTTTTAAGCACTTAGGTAGTCTCCAGTTTTTTAAAAAGCACCTCCACAATTGTTCACAGAGTTTGTGTAATTCCAGAGTTTTAGCGTCTCTGCAGACCCCTTGGCTCAAACTCCAGTGTCTCTGTCCTCAGTAGGAACATCCCTAAGACCCACCTCGTGTCTGTTCAGGAGAGAGCTAGATGTGGGGTCTGGCTGACGATACCGGCCGCGGTAAATTTGCTTCTGAACATCCGTGTCCCTGTTCCCTTGGAAAATGAGGAAAGGAGGAGGAAGGCTCAAGAGAAGCCATCAGATCTTGTCTCGTTTTGGGAAGTGGCAGAGCCAGGCTGGGAGTGCTACCCGGGCAGAGATGGGCTGAGCATGGCCAGCACAGTTCTTAATAAAAGTCACTGTTGACAAGTCGCAGCTTCGAGAGGAGACACAAACAAAATTTAGCAGGATCTTGAGGGAGTTGAGGGCCCCGGGTTAATAAACTTCCATTTGCCTTCGCTAAGCTCCATGTAAGGGACTCTGCCCTCAAAGACCCGTTTTATATTTTCCTGTGAATTTCCCCAACGCCAGGGGTAGGACTGGTGATGGGAGCTTTGGGTTAGAAGATTAGTAGGCGATAGATATTTTTAAAATAAATTTTCAGGACTGATGAAATACAAAATGCCTGTTCGTCATAGAAAAGTTTCGAAAATTCATCAAAGTACAAAGAAAAAAAATTAAAATGGTCATTATCCAACTCCCCACAGCTAACTGCTGCTACCGTTTTATCTTTCGTCATTTCAGAGATGATTCTGTATGAGCGTGTGCGCATGCACGCGCGCGAGTGTTAGATCAGACGGTGTTCACCTTTTTCGGTTATCGGTATCTATTAATAGTTTTCTGTGATTTCATTTCACCGCATAATGTTTCTTTCCCTTTGATGCGGCATATTCATTTCTCTAGTCCTCTGTAGTTGGATATTTACTTGTGTTTTTTCAGTCTTGCTAAATTTGTAATAAATATCTTGGCCACTAAATCTTTGCCCAAACTCATGACTTTCTTCAGAATAAATTTCTGTTAAGTTCCTGGGTTATGATGGATATGGGGTAGGAGACTGCTCATTACTGAGCCACAGAGATATATACCTATTAAGTAGGAAAAAAAAAAACAAACAACCCAAGTTCAAGCCTCTAGGCTGGGTCCCCATCACGTTCTAACATCTGGGGTCCTTGGAGGAACCTCTGCCTCGCCTGTGCCTCGGGTGGTGCAGCTGCTGATTCTGAGGCTCACGTCCTCTCCCCCACCCCAATCTCTGCCTCCACAGGTGTCTGCTTTTCCCAGACCAGCCAGGAAGGACCATGTGCCAGGTGAGTGTGGTGTTTCTTTATACTGCGCTTTGTTTTACTGCAGATTTCAGGTTGCTTATAAGAATGCATCCAATAAAAGAAAATGCAAACAAATCAGGATCAGGGAAAACAAGCGAATGGAAGATCAGAGCCACGGGAAGGGCGGAGTGGAAACGCTACAGAGGCTGCTGGGTTATTAGCTGTCCTGTAAATTTTAAGTCTGATATTCCTGGCACTGTAAAATGACAGATTCCATCCAATATCTGACTTGTGTTGTGTGTCTGGGACAAGCATGTCACCTTAACGGCAAGTCTTTTCCAGTATAAGCAGTGGATGTTAGCCCAGGGCAGAAATCTATGATTACAGCTGTTTAGGGAATCAAATACTCAGACCTACAAACACAGCCTTGTTATGATTCGGGCTGACCTAGAAAAAACACTGCATTATCTGGAGGAACAAATGAATAGTATGTTCTTCAAATGATCTGCACGGTACTTTTGACACAGAAGGAGAGCGAACAGCTCACTGTTTCAGTCTTTGCCAGGGGCAGTGAGGGGGTGGTGATGGTGGGACGATGGCCCAGGCTCGCCCGGCCTTGTCAAGTTCAAGGTGGCAGCCGCCTTTTCCCTTTACAGGACTTACACCTCATCCATCTGCCCTTGGCCTCCTTGGAGCCCTTTCTCGGTCATCATTATCTTTCTTCAGACATCAGTGACATCGTTGTTTGCCATCAGCCTGTCTGCATTCTCATGTACCTCTATTCTCTCCCTACCCTGGTCTTTAGGGACATGTGAACGCCAAGTGCACTGGCAGAACCCTTGAAGTTATGAGAGCCAGAAACCCAGCTAGAGCGAGTGTAGGACAGACAGAATCTAGGCAGTACCCCACACTGTGGGGAGAGCAGGTGTGCAGCTGGGACTCGGAGCTCCGAGTCACAGAGGGGACCCCAGATGTTGTCAGGAGTCTTTCTTGTCCCTCGTCCCTGTTTCTGGGACTTCCTTCTGTCATACTGACTTCACGTGACCCGAAATAGAATGCCCAAATAGCTCCCACAGCTCACATTACAAATTTTGCCATAGAAAGGGACCGAGGCTCCTTAAATAGAGCCAGTTTGCAAGATCTTTGGGAAAGATTTCGATCGGCCCAGCCTAGTTTGGGGTGGGGCCGAGGGGCTGGGTCTCTGCTTGGGCTGCGGGGAGGGAGAGCGTGAGTCCTACGGAAGACGAGGCCTCGTGGACACACGTTGGAGCTGTCCACTCCAGGAAGAGGAGCAGTCACAGGGTCTTAGTTCCTAGCTCGGAGACCTGTCTGAATGGGAGTGTTTATGCTTAATAAAGCCAGGCCTATCTGGAGGTTCAATGCCAGAAACATCCGGGGACAGGACAGGTATGAGAGGCTGAAAACAAGGTGGTGACCCCACAGCCTTCTCAGAAGAGAGAGCTGGCTGCGACAGGAGGCTGGCAGACCTGGATGTGAAGCTGGAAGTTTCGTTTGGTGCTGTTGGGAAGCTTTTGTTTTGTAGGAAACCAAGTCTCATTGGGACTCTCCCTCCGTTAGGGCTGTCTGCAATAAAGATGACAATAAAAGCATTCAGACTCCATCTGTTGAGCACTTATGTTCCCGTCTCTGTGTGTTTCATCTATCGTTTCATGAATAAACCTGTGAGCTAGATGTTAGGAATTCCTCCTCCCATTTTACTGATGAACAGACAGACAGAGACCCGGGCCCTTAATGGCTGTGCTAAACTGCAGTCATATCTACCAAATCCATGTCCCCAGCAAGAGAATCCGGTAGCGTTTCTGCATCGCTGACCTGCACTCTCCAACACAGCGGCCGTCGCCCACCGGTGGATCCTGAGCACCTGCAGTGTCGTTAGGGTGGCTGTGGACCTGAATTTTTAATTTACACTTAGATTTTAAAACTGAATCAGTAGTATGTTTTTTTCATTAAACACAACTTCATGGCTTTTATAGGACTAAATTTCCCCAAATGGAATTGAAGATATAGTGTCCGAAGTGAGATATACTGTTAAGTGGCAAATACACGCCAGGTTTTGAAGATGTGGCGTGAAAAAAATATATATATTAGTGATTTAAAAATGATTATATGTTTAAATGATAATATTTTTGATGTAGTAGGTTAAACAAGAGGTATCATTAAAATTAATGCATTTCATTTTTTACTTTTTAAAAAAGTATGACTACCAGAATTTATTTTTGAAACCACTTTATCAAGGTATGATTGACATACATATCTCTGTATATATTTAATTAGACATCTTGATGAGTTTACAGATAAGGGTGTACCCATGAAACCATCACCACAATCAAAGCCATAAACTTCCATCACACCCAAGTTTCCTCCCATCCTGCTTTTTAAAAATATATATTTTTTTCTTTTGTGGTAAGAGCATGTAACAAAAGATCTGCCCTTTTAGCAAAAATTTAAGTACACTCTACAATATTGCTAACTACAGGCCCTACGTTGTGCAGTAGCTCTCCAGGGCTTACATCACACCTCCTCCAAGCCCCTGGTAGCCACTGTGCTGCTCCCTAGTGCTATGAATTTGACTATTTTAGATTCTTCATAAAAGTGAGATCATGCAGTATTTGCCCTTCTGTGTCTGGCTTATTTATCTTAGCATAATGTTCTCCAGCTCCATGAATGTCACAAATACCGTGATTTCCTTCTTTCTCGTGGCTGAATAATATCCCATTGTGTGTACATACCACATTTTCTTTATCCATTCACGCACCGATGGACAATTAGGGTGTCTACATCTCTTGGCTGTTGTGAATAATGCTGTAATGAACATGGACGTGCAGATGTGTCTTCAGGATCCTGCACTCAAGAAGACTGTCATCTGCAGAGATGCATTTGCTTCTTTATGATTTGGATGCCTTTTGTCTCTTTGTCTTGCCTAGTTCTGGCTGGACATCAGTACTGTGCGAATAGAAGAGGCATATTTTCCTTCGCCATGAGATTTATAATGCTTTCATGTTGCTACCTAATATATTTTTGTTTCAACATGAAGAACTTGCTTTAGTATTTTTTGTAAGGCAGGTCAAGTAGTGTTGAACTCCCTCTGTTTTTGCTTGTCTGGGAAAATCTTTCTCCTTCATTTTTAAAGGAAAGTTTTACCAGGTGTAATATTCTCGGTTAGCAGTTTTGTTTTTTTTTTCCCAGTACTTTGAATATATCATCCCACCCTCTCCTGGTCTGTGAGGTTTCTGCGGAGTAAGCCACTCATAGTCTCACGGGGGTTCCCTTACATATGACAACTTCTTTCTCTTTTGCTGTTTTCAAAATTTTCTGTCTTTGATATTTAACAATTTAATTATAATGTGTCTCAGTATAGACCTCTTTGAGTTCAACTTATTTGGGGATATTTGGAAATCATGAACGTGGATTTCCATTTCCCTCCCTAGATTTGGAACGTATTCAGCCATTATTTCTTTAAATAAGCTATCTTCTTTCTCTCTTCTCCTCCGGGACTCCAGTTATGCGTGTATTGGTTCTTTCATTGATGTTCTATAAATACCATAGGTTTTCTTCACCCTTTTTCATTCTTTTTTTTTTTAACTTCCTCTGACTACTTTCAGATGACATCTTTGAGTTCACTGGGGTTCTTTATTCTGTTCGATTGAGTCTGATGTTGAAGCTCTATCAAATTTTTCAGTATATTTATTGCAGTCTTCAGTTCCAGGATTTCTGTTTGGTTATTTATGGTTTCTGTGCCTTTGTTGAACTTCTCTTTTTGTGCATACTGTACCGTTTCGCACTTGTCTGATCAGCAAACACTTCGACGTGTCACAATACCAAGGGTTCCCCAAAGGAGGTGGAGAAAGGGGAAGCTCACATACTGTGGGCGGAGGAGTAACCTGATGCAAACAGTACCACAGACCCAGGAGCAACCTGACCTGACAGCAGCCTCGTCCACACAGTGACCCCAAAGCCTGCCCTGCCATCCTTTGGACCAACAGCCCAGGCCACCTGCAGACCCTAGCATCCGGCCCTCCTACCCACAGATCCCACCCATGCACCATGGCTGTGGGCCTGCCCACCGACCCCACCAACCAACTCTCCCAGAATCTCTGATCAGGGTGACTGGTGAAGGTCTTTTCTCTCCCAAAACCACTTGGTAAAGACTAGAAGATGTGATTGCTTCTTTACATGCAGATAGCAATGCAAAGCTGTAAGGATTATGAAAAATCTGGTAAACATAACACCAAAGGAACCTAATAAAGGCCCAGTAACTGACCCTAAGGAAACAGAGATCTATGAACTGCCTTTTGATAGGAATGTCCTCCTGACATCAGAACATACTGTTGATTTTTCATGACAGCTCAGGCACAGCCTCCAGTAAAGCTTAACTTGACATCAATACATTGAATTTGACCGCTGTCTTCTTTGAGTCTGTTCTGTATGTAAATACATTCTCATCATAAATACACTCTCATCATTCAGAGTAATCTTACTATACAGAAGTCCACACTGTTCATCTCATTCCAGCAGACTCTAACTGCCTTTAGCATAGGACCAATGTTGCATTCAGCTTTTTGACCCCAAGCACCAAGCAGAATGCCAGTAACACACCGGGTCTTCAATAGATACTTGCTCACCGAATGAATGAACGAACGAATGAACGAACGAACGAACGGAGATCCAAAGGTGAGATCTTTCCTAATAATATTTTTCTCACCCACAAAATGTACAAAGTTAGGGGCACGCTCAGTTCCTGTATGACTTAGCATGGGGTGACCTGACTCTGAACATGGCAAGATCCATCTCCTCCACACCTTTGCCATGGTACTCTGTTGCAAGCACTTAAGATTAATTGGGAATATACTGTTTTAGGAACCATTGTCATTCAGAGATGTGGCTGTGGGCTTCACCCGTAAGGAGTGGCAGCAGCTGGACCCTATGCAGAGGACCCTGTACCGGGATGTGATGCTGGAGAACTATAGCCACCTGGTCTCCGTGGGTGAGGAAGCCCTCTAATGTCTCGCAGTCATGTCTGAGCTCCTTTATTTTCTCAGCTATATAAAACCTCCTAAGTACTAAAAGTGTTTGGTGTTGGGTTTCACTTGTCAAAGAGTGTTGCTCTCATCTCACCTGGATTATATGTTTTCTGAATTTACTTCCCAAGCAAAATGTCTATTCTTGGGCAAAATGTAAATGTTTATTGTGCGGCCCGAAACTTCTGCTTCCTTATATGGCTCAGATGGCTCAGCATAAATCTTGTAACTATTTTTCATGAACAGGGTGTCAAGTCACCAAACCAGCTGTGATCTCCAGGTTGGAGCAGGGGCAAGAACCATGGGTGGAGGAAGAAGAAATCCTTGGATGGGGCTTTCCAGGTGAGAGAGAAGCAGCTTGCAGGGGGACCGTGGACATAACGTTTCCAGGAGGTCACAAAGCAGAACCTTGGATTTTTTTTTGTTTTGTTTCAGGCAACTGTTCTTAAAAGCCTTGGACCTTTGCAAGCAGCTGTGGACATTTGGCCTCAGACCTTGAGAG